TTCTCCACCAGTGACCATGCACCAGTTCGGTGCGACCCCACGGGCAGGAAGGAGGACAGAGTGTGACGATCCCACCAGACCGCCAGGAGGGCTCCGCCGCAGCCCACTGATCCCACGCCAGGTCGGTGCCACCCCAGACCCGAGGCGGAAGGGAGAGGAACGGCCCACCCGGTCCCCCCGGGCAGGGAGGTCGTCTCTTTCCGAGGCGTGGCGGCGGCCGCGGGGAGGACACAATCCCAGCTCGCTGACCCTGAACTTGCGCCAGGTCGGTGCACCCCAAAGGACGGCGGGCCCGCGACCGACTCGGCCCAAGACGACGACCCAAGCGCCTGCCCCTGTCCTTGTCGCCACGGTCGGAAGGTTGAACCCATCGGCACCATCGTGCAGCAACACTGGGACACCATCGGGGCTACATCGAGGCCTCTGCGGATCACCATCGGGTAGAGCACCTGGAGGCCCTGCAGGGGCAGTTTGACGGCACCATCGGGCCACCATCTGAGCACCATTTAGACACCGTGTGGACACCACCGGGACAGCATGTTGACACCCTCCTGACCTCACCTGAGCGCCGTCTGGACACGTGGACGCCATCGGGGCAGCATGTTGACTCCGTAGGCAGCAGCACCCAGCAGCACAATTCACAAGGGGCGGTACCTGGCGACCTTCGTGCAGTTCGCCAGGACCGCGGTGGTTGCTGGCGACCGTGTCGCCTCCGCCAATCGGCAGAGCAGGAACCCATCGCCCACCCGGGTGGCCCGTCGCCCTGCCCCCGCGTGGACCGACGCCAGCGGCTCCAGCGCCGAGGACCGTCCCGGCGCCAGTCAGCGAGGGGATGCACCTCCGCCCACTCGGCACGAGCTCTTGCCCCTCGTCAAGAGCACCTGGGCCGGGAGTCGCTTACCTCACGCTACAGGAGGCTGGGCCAGGGGCGGGCGCGTCCTGGAGCTGTCCCAACGAGCGTTTTGCTCGACCTCCTCAACTCCAAAGAAGCGTTGGCGGCCCGAATCATGAGGATGCAGCAAACAGGCGGTGAACCCTGCGCGGCTTGGAACCGATATAGTGCCCTGCGCGTCGGCGGCGCCCGCGACCCGAGCCGGCATGGTGCCGCTTCCCTCCGCTGCTTCGCCCCGCACCTGCCCGCGCCGGCTCGGTGCTCTCTTGCTGCCTTCCTTGGCGCCAGCTGCCCCAGCGGCGTCCCGGGCGGTCCCGCCTGTTGGCCGCTGCGTCCTCGGATGCCCCCGCCGGCCGCGCGGCAGCCCCGGCGGCTTCCCTCTGCCCGGGCCGCCTCTCCTGCCCCGGCTTGCCCAGCCGCGGGCGCCTGCCTCCCCCCCTTTTCCGGCCCCGCGTCCCTTCTGGGTCATGGGTGCGCATCCTTCGCAGCATCTGGCGAGCCTCCGGCCCGCCCGCCCACCAATGTGGCCGCTGCTCTCCCCAGTTTGGCGTCTCCTTGTCTTTCGTAGCAGGGTGGCCCACTCACTGTGACTGCACCTGTTCGGTGCCTGCCCCGCGCATGTTTCCGGCTCACCTCGCGGTTTCCGCAGGTAGTCAGCAGCGTGCGTGCTCCTCTTCGGCCTGCTGGCCGCGCTTCCCCCGGCCTCGGCGCCCGGGCTGGTCTTGCCGCCCACGCCCCCCCCCAAGCTTTGCCCGGTTGTCGGGCCCCGCCGTCCCTTCCCTTGGGGCTCCGGCTTCCTCCAGCTGTTCGCACTCCCGCCTCCTCCCCCCCGCCGCCGTTGGCCCCGCAGCCCCGCTGCTGCCGCTGGGCCCCCCTCCCCCCAGCGTCGGCCACGCCGCGCGCCTGGGTCTGCTCCGAGCGGCCCCCGCTCCCGCGTCTCTCCCTGCCTCGGCCGTCGCCCCGCCGTCCTCCTTCCTCCCCCTCCTGCACGGTGGCGCACTTCGCTCAACGTTGCCACGTTTGGCTCCATTCGCCAGCGCAGTCACTCTGCCTAGCCGCCGATGCACAAGTGTTTGTGTTTGTGTTTTTTGTGTGTGTGTGTGTGTGTGTGTGTGTGTGTGTGTGTGTGTGTGTGTGTGTGTGTGTGTGTGTGTGTGTGTGTGTGTGTGTGTGCGTGTGTGTGTGTGTGTGTGTGTGTGTGTGTGTGTGTGCGTGTGCGTGTGCGTGTGCTGTGTGCGTGCGTGCGTGCGTGCGTGCCTGTGTGTGTGTGCCTGTTTGTTTGCGTGTGTGTGTGTGCCTGTTTGTTTGCGTGTGTGTGTGTGTGTGTGTGTGTGTGTGTGTGTGTGTGTGTGTGTGTGTGTGTGTGTGTGTGTGTGTGTGTGTGTGTGTGTGTGGGGGGCATACCGTGCTCCCGCCTGCCTGTGCTCTGGCCATGGGCACTATTTTGCTCGGCCTGTGCTTCCCGCCTCTGCTCTGTTCCGCGCTGGCTTGGCTTTTTCCTTCCCCGCGGTCGACTACGTTCGGCTCTCCTTGGGATCTTCAGGCGCTGCCACGCTGCCTCGCAAGGGGGCTAATTCAGTCTGCGCGTGTCCCGCATACTGTTACCCGTCGACTGGAGCTTATCGGCGCGTCGGGGGGGCGTGTTGTGCCAGCGGACGGGGGTGCGGTCGTGGGATTGGTTTGAGGCTCTTGAGGCCGTCACTCTGAGCGGTGGGCAAGTCGTCGGCCATCCCTGGCAGTACTGAGCCGCATTGTTGTGATCAGAGACGTGCCCTGGGTGTCTCCGAGGCTCGGTGGAGGCCAAAGCGCTACAAAACCCGCCTGCCCTAGCATTGCAAACTGAGCCTTTTTGCTGCAGGAGGGTGGGAGATGCAGAGGCTCTGCCGCAAGCGGCTCTGTCTGGGGTTCCGTGGTGGGGGCCCTGAGTGTTGTCACAGAAGATGCGGTGTCAAGCCATCAAGCGGCCTTTGCCGGCTCCTCGACACCGTGCCTGGGTTGTGGGTGGAGTGCGCAGTGGGAACATGGGTGGGAATATTCCAGGTTCCTAGGTCTTTTGCCTCTTTGGGTGTCTCTGGGGACTCCTTGAGGAATCTCTATGCCCTTTGGGGGGTCTTCTTGGAGTCTCCTGGGGGGCTTTTGGAGGCTAGCCAGGGGGGTGGGGCCATGGTCGGGAGCTGATGCCTAACCATGTCCCTACGTTTCCATCCGAGTTCCTCTTTTTAGGCTCCTCTTGGGACCATCTTGGGGGTGTCTTTGGGCCCCTCTGGGGGTCCGGAATCATCTCAAGACAGTCTCGGCATGTTTGTGAGACGTCTGGTATGCTCTCAAGATCGAGCGTGATACCAAGATCTTGCAAGCCGCATTGTATGTTTGACGATTTTGCGCTCTTGGGCCGAGCCCGATGACCCCCAGGACGGCCCAAGAGTCCCCCCAGAGGACCTCAGACGGGCCCCTGAAGCAATTTCTACGCAGGTTGGAGGTTCTAGATTGCCAGCCACGGTTCCGAGGCTTCGAGGAGCCCACGCGACAAGCCAACATGAACGCCCTGGGAATTGGAAGGGCCCAGGCGCGCCCAGCAATCGAAGGTCCATAGCCCAGCAGAGCATTCCAATCCTCAAGTACTCACTGCTGAGGCCCACACCTGACCTGATGACACTTGTGCTGGAGGGCCAGAGGTACGGTCGCGTATAAATCAGGAAGGGCGGCGCACATCTGCCGCGCTGTGAGCGCGGCGGCGGAGTACAGAGAGGAGCGGGTCGGATAGCCCCCTAGGTCGTGGTGCAATTGCGGTGGGCGAGGTGCGGGCCATACCAAGGCTTCGTCTCTCTTCTCTGCTCGGCATCGCTCGGCAACCGTCCAGTGCTTCCTGCACAGTTTCTTCCACGGACGGGCTGGGTCGGAGCATCGCCCAGCCATTACTGTAGAGAGGAGCGGGTCGGACAGCCTCTGATGGTGAAGGGCGATTGCAGTTGGTGAGGCGCGGGCCACAGTAGGGCTCCGTCTCTTCCTCTGCGCTCGGCATCTCTCGGCAGCCGTTGAAATAACGCTTCCTGCACATTCTCTTCCACGCTCGAGCTGGAGCGGAACATCGAGCATCGCCGAGTGATTCGTTATAGAGAGGGGCGGGTCGGATCCCTAGAGTCCCATGCGATTGCAGTTGGTGAGGCACGGGCCTTACCAAGACTTCGTCCCTTCCCTTTTGCTCGGCGTCTCTCGGCAGCCCTTTGTGCTTTTAGCATTTTTGTTTGGTCCGACATGTTCGTGAGACTGCGTAGTGAGACACGTGTAGTAAGACACGTGTTGTGAGACACGTGTAGTGAGACACGTGTTTTGAGGCACGTGAAGTTTCAATAGCTCGATGGGCGCCCGTACGAATAGTTCGAGACGCCTCAGCTGTAGCACTCTCGCTGATGGGGGCTCCACGGCAGGCGTCGGCGTCCCAGGCTGAAGTGCGACTGGTTGAACATTAAGATGCGCAACTGCAAACCGGGGAGGATTGGGATCGACCCAGTGAGACAATGCTAGAATTGGGATGCGGCAAGACTTGATGGGCGGGTGAGGGGACCGTGGAGCGCTGGTGAGCCTTTCAGGAATCTTATCAGGTTTCCGACGAGCTTTCCATGATGCGGAGAGGGAGGTGGAGGAGCGCGGTGACGATGACGAGGAGGACGAAGATGTGGAGCTTGAGGACCATGAGGAGAACCAGGAGGCAGAGGATGTGGATGGTGGAGAAGTTACAGGAAGTTGAGGAAACAAAGTGCAGGATTATGACACGTATCGGGGTTGTGGCAATGATGAATTTGTCGTTGTCGATGACGATGATGATGACGATTATGATAATGATGATGATGATGATGATGATGATGATGATGATGATGATGATGATGATGATGATGATGATGATGATGATGATGATGATGATGATGATGATGATGATGATGATGATGATGATGATGATGGTTTGTACTTGTACGTAAATCCTGTGCGCCTCGTCGGATGTCAGCCGCTCGACCCCCAGTCGACCCCGAACAGTATTTAAATAGCAGTCGATCAGGCAAACTTGTTTCAACATGCGTTCGCCGCAACTGCGGTGGCTCAAGCTTCAAAGGCTCGTGCCGCCGTCCCGAGGGCTGCGCATGTGGGACTGGCTGCTGCAGAGGGGCCCCGAGTATTTGGCCCAGTGCGTCGTCAACTACGCGGCGCGCTGCCCTGCCATCCCCGCCTGCCCGCAGGCGACGTGTCCGTCCTGCCCAGGGCTGACCTGCGGGGACTGTGTGGTGCCGGCGTGCCCGGCGTGCCCAGCTTGCCGACCGATCACGGTGCCGGCAGGGGCTGCCGCCTTCGCCGAGGCGGCTGGCGGTCGCGAGGAGGCCGCGGGCTGCGCTGAGCCTGGGCTGGGCTACCTCGCGTACCTGATCTTCCTCCTCGGCGTCGTGGTGGGCGGCGTCCTGGCGACTGGAGGGCTTGCCGTTGGCGGGCTGTTGCGCCGGCTGTGCTGCAGGCCCGTGAAGGACGCGGTCAGCGAAGATGAGTTGGAGTTACGTCCTGTACAACGTGGAAGGCCAGCCGCTCTGGCACCAGCGCCGGGTGTACGGGGTGGTGGCACACTCGGGTGGTAAGACCTACGTGGCCGCCACCGCCGACGCACACGTCTACCCGGAGGACTGGTCGCCGACCTCAGAGGACGTGCTGGCGGTGCGCTGGTGCAGCGAGTATCGAGAGCTGCCGGCCGGTGTGCCGAGGGATCGGGTGTACCGCTTCCGACGGGAGCCGACGGCCGCGCGGGACGCCGCCTTCCGGCAGGCTGCCGAGGACGAGGCTGAGGCCGAGGGTCGGCGCCTGCTGGCAGCGGCGGGCGGCGCGGCGCCGCCGGCGGGCTTCGTCTGGCTGTTGCCGATCGACGCCGCGGGCCGGCTAGTGGGCGGTGCCGGCGGAGCTGGGGCCATCGTGCCTGCAGGCGCCGGCGCTCCGGGCGCTCCACCTGCGCCGGGAGTGGCCGAGCCTGCCGCAGCCGGCGCCGCCGGTGCCCCCGCGGCGGCGGCCGCGCCCCCGCCCCTGCTGGTGGGGCCCTTGCAGGGCGTCGCGCCGGCAGCGCCTGCAGCAGGCGTCGGCGCGGCTTGGAGGGCTGCTGAGAGCGGGGGCGGCTTCCGATTCGGTGACCCTGTCCCAGGCCACGTGCGGAGCGCCCAGGCGATCGGCTCGAAGGATTTCCACCTCTTGCCAGACGGGGCCGCCCTGTTCGTCGAAGAGGTGACGGCAGCGACTGAGGTCGCCTTCCTCGACAAGGGGGTGTTCGGCGACGCACGCATCATGGCGGTGCGACGCAACCGCCAGGGGCGGCGCGAGCGCACCTGGGCGGAGATGGTCGCGGCCGTGGTGCAGGAGGAGTTCAGCAACGACTGGGACTTGCCCGGGCCAAGGTCCGTGCTGTGGTGCCTGGAGTTCATCAGCCACGAGGGGCTCGGTCTCGACGGGCATCACGAGAGGTTCCGCATTCTTTGCAAGTTGGAGTTCTCGAGTTGGGGCGTGTCCGAGCATTAGAATATCACGCAGGCTTTGAAGTTCGGCCTCCTTCACGACCAGGTGGACGGCACCAATCTGATGATGGTGGAGTCCATGTTTCGCCGACTTCAAACGATCGAGTTCGCGCACTCCGAGCGGGCTCGCGAGCAGGAGGCCAAGGGCTACGGAGGGAAGCTCAGCCTCGAGGAGCAGATGGCCTTTGCGGGCACGGCCCGCGCAGGTGGCTCCCTGATGATCTGCCCTCTTATTGCTGGATTACGTGCGGGGCGAGGTCGAGCGCGAGGCCTCGCTTGCCAAGAACTTGCGCAAGGCCCGAGAGGAGCGAGAGGCTGCCCGGGCCAAGGATAAGACCAAGAAGGATGCCGGGTGAGCGCCTTTGTCGAGGCCACATCCGGTTGCGCGGGCTGAGGGCATGACGGGACCCTCAGCTCCGCGCGGCCCGCCTGATGCAGGCGTGCCCGTGCTATCCCGACCTTCGAGTGATCCTGTGAGCCAGGCCCCAGGGCACACGAGCGAAGCTTGTCAATTAGTCCCCCCCTCCTTGCCTCCGTCGCCTCCCCCTCTCTCTTCTTGGGAAGACTGGATGCATGACCCGAGCCGTCAAGTGCCGCGTGAGTTGCCCCCTCTTCCTCGTCCTGAGGTTTTCAGGGTCGACCGCGCGCGGGCTAATGAGATGTCTCGTGGCACGCGGCAGAGGTTGTGTAGGCGCCAGGCCGAGGAGCGCGAAGTTGACCGTGCGCTCTGGGGCCTTAACTCGCTTTACACTCATCAGCCGCAGCCCCGCGACCGCGCCTCCCCGGGCAAGGGGCCCGAGCGAGGCGCCGAGTGCGGATCCTATCATCTTTTTTCTGCCGGTCAGGCCGGCGTGCTGGATCGTGTCCGACGCGCCGTGCGCGACCTTGGCCCTCCACCTGTGGGGGCCTCCCCCGCTGAAGCTCTCAGGAAGCTTCGCGTGGCGAGCTGGTGCGACGTGGACAGTACTACGCTCGGTCGCTACTCTCTCGCCGACGTCTCACTGCCTTCAGGCGACGTCAGGCCTGTGCCTGTGTCTGAGCTTTGGGGCGAGGGCGGGTGCCAAATGGTAGAGGACTTCTGCCGCTTGAATGTCGTTCCGCCGGAACAGTCGCGAGCCCGACTCCGCTCGTCAGGTGTGGCCATTCCCAACTCCGATCCCAAGCTTAGACACCCTCGAGCCTTTGAGGAATTCATGTCGGCGTTGGCCGCGCGCGGAATGCTTGATTTCTCGCGCGAGGATGGTGAGCGAGTGGGGCCGTTTTTTGTGACCAAAAAGAATGGCAAGCTCAGGCTTGTCGTAGACTGCAGGCGTTCAAACTGTCATTTCACTGAGGCCGGTGGTGTCTCGCTCTGCACTGGTGAAGGGCTTTCCGCCATCGAGCTGGGAGCCGACGAAGATATCTTCGTTGGTGGTGCGGATTTGAGTGATGCGTTTTACCACATGGGGCTCCCCAAACCCTTTAGAAAGTATTTCACTTTTCGGCCCGTGCGGGCTGCGTCTGTAGGGTGCACAGAGATTGGGGGTCGAGCTGTGGCTGCACATGAGAAGGTATACCCTAGGCTCGCTGTCATTTCCATGGGATGGTCTTGGGCTTTATGGATGTGCCAGAAGATACACGAGAGGATAGTCGAGGCAGCTGGCTCGGACCCCAAGTTTAGGATCACCGACAAGACGTGCGCTCCAGACCTCAGCCAGCCGTGCCACACGCAGTATGTGGACAACTACATTGCGATCTCGACCAACCGGGACAACGTGAAAAATTCGGTGTCGTCTGCCATCACCGCTCTGGAAAGTCGGGGACTCGTCTTTCATGAGGAGGATCATGGTGGGGAGGAGGGTACTACTGCCAAGTTGCTGGGTTGGGTCATCGATCGAGGGAGTGGGCGACTCGTTGCTTCCCCGGATCGTCTGTGGCGCGCTCGGCTTGCTATTCGTGCTCTTCTCGCTCGTGGTCGGGCCAAAGGTCGAGATGTTGAAAAGCTTCTCGGGCACCTGGTTTTCATCTCCTTGGTTCGGCGGGAGGGCCTCAGTTTGTTCTGGAGTTGTCATGGATTTATTCACAAGCATTACGACAGCGACGTTGCCTTGTGGGCCTCTGTTCGGCGTGAGCTCAGTATCTGGGACTCTATCTCTCCGCTCCTTTATCGCGATCTTCGGGCCGCTTGGGGGGGGCGAGGTTGTCGCGGTTGATGCCAGCGAGTGGGGCCTCGGGGCCTGCTCGAGCCGCTGCGGATCCTCGCTCTGTTCCCAGGTCGGCCGCACATCCGAGAGGCGGCGCTGGGGTCGTGGGGGCGCTTTTGGGGGTCCTCGTCGCCATGCTGGTCGCTGGGCTCGGGATGCTGCCGCGGCGGCGGCCCTTGAAGGGTCCGCCGAGGAGGCCGCCCCTTGGATGTGCGGCCCCGACGACACCCAGGAACCTGCTCGCAGTGATCTTGATGCTGGGGCCCCCGGGGACATCTACGGGTTTGGGCGTGTACCCCGAGCCGATGATTTTCTTGAAGTTCCCAGGGGAATGATTGAGCAGGATTGGGGGGTGGTGGGCCGTTTCGAGTGGCGGAAGATGGGCGAGAGCATCCCGGTCCTGGAGGCCCGCGCTGCCCTGTACGGCTACAGGCATCTTCTGCGTAGTCGTCGGAATCATGGTAAACGTCTCGTTGTTTTGGGAGATTCGATGAGTGTGGCGGGAGCGGTGTCTAAGAGCCGCAGTGGGAGCCGTGCGATGCTGTGCGTGACGCAGAGCATCGCCGCCCTCTCCCTGGCGACAGGCTCCTCTCTCCACTACCGCTGGCTGCCCTCCGAGTGGAACTCAGCCGACGGTCCCTCAAGAGGACGTTGGCGACCCGCAGCGCCCTCGGCGCTGGCCCCGCGCGATGCTCGCGCGCGCGGCCCCAGTGCCCGCCAGCGCTGTGGCGCTGGAGCAGGCGCTGCCGACGGGACTGCTGGCACGCGGACCCCAGGCGGATGTGCGCGCTCCGCTGGCGCTGGGCGGGCCGCCGCGCATGGCGTCGGCGCCGACCTCGAGCCGGCCTACGTCGTCAGCATGTCTCCGAGTGCCGGCGGTGCGCCAGCAGCGTCTCGTGCGGCGGCGGCCGGCCGCCTCAGCTGCCCCCCCGGGCTCGGTTGGGCCCAAGCGCCGCAAGGTGAGCCAGCGAGCCTCGCGGGCTGCGGCTCGGCGGTCCACAGCAGTGCGGCTGCCGGGTATGACGGTGCTGGAGGCGGCGTCCATCAAGCCGAGGACGCGGGACCGCTACCAGGAGATCTTCGCCGACTTCCTGGTGTGGGCAAACGGCCGTCGGCTGACGACCGAGGACCTTGTGGACCAGGCGATCGCGGAGTGGCTGGACGACCTCTACCTGGGCGGCGAGGGCCTGAGTGCAGGGTCCTGGGCGTATGCAGCAGTGACCTTCTTCACCGGCCTGAACAAAGCGTCGGGCGCGCTGATGCCTCGGTCGCGCCGCGCCCTCCAGGGTTTTCGCAAGCTCGCGCCGCCGCGATCTCGATTGCCGATGCCCTACATGGTAGTGGCGATGGTGGTGATGGAGCTCCTGGCCCGACAGCGTTACCAGAGTGCGCTCGCCGTCCTTCTCATCTTCGAGCTGTGCCTGAGGCCCGGAGAGGCGTTCCACATCGGGGCGGTGGACCTCGCCCCGCCCGTGGCGAGGGTCAGCGGAGCGCCCCACTGGTGCGTGACTCTCCATGCTGCCGAGACCGAGAGGGAGTCCAAGACCGGCGAGTTCGACGAGAGCCTATCTCTGGATCTCAGCCGGCAGTCCTTCATCGGGCCCGCGCTCGACCTGATGCTGAAGCACCGGCTGGGCGCGGACTGGCGGCGCGCAGAGCAGAGGCACGTCGGCTCCGGCCTGCACCTGGCGGCGCCGCTGTTCACCGTGACGCTCGACGAGGCGACGAGGGACTTCAAGGGGGCCGTCGAAACGCTGGGGGTGGACACCGCGCTGGGCGCCGCCCACATGTACATGCTGCGGCACGGCGGCGCCTCGCACGACTACGCCTCGGGCTGCCGCCGCTTGGAGGACGTGCGCCGTCGCGGGCGCTGGCGTTCGTGGTCCTCGGTCCGGCGCTACGAGAAGGGGAGCAGGTTGGGTCAAGTCGTTCACAAGCTCGGGCCAGTGCTTCAGGCCCACGGCAAACTCTGCGTCGAGCTGCTGAGCGAGGTGGTGTCTGGCCGGCGTCGTCCTGCACCATTCGCCTCCGGCAGCGTGTCTTCGTCGAAGTCTTCTCGGGCAGCGGCCACCTCTCGGAAGCGATCTCGAGGGTAGGTGTCACCGCCCTGCTGTGGGACATTAGCCTCGGCGAGACGTACGACCTTAGGTGCAAGCGCAATCGCCTCCTTCTCCTCGGGTGGGTGAGGGCCGGGCTGGTGGCTGGCGCCCATGTGGCCACGCCGTGCTCGTCCTTCAGCCGGGCCCGAGGCATCCCCCCAGGTCCCCCCAGGCTCCGAAGCGATTCGGAGCCTATGGGCCTTGGGGGGCTGTCCCAGGCCGATCAGGAGAAGGTGGCGATTGGTAACGTGCTGATGCTGTTTTCCGCTTCCCTTATCCGTGAATGCAGGCAAGTTCAGGTACCGTGCTCATTGGAGAACCCCGCCAGAAGCCGTCTCTGGATTTGCCCTGCTATGCGACGTCTCTCCCGTGCTCAGGGCATCGCTGTTGTCACCGCCGATTTTTGTCAATGGGGGGTGCCCTGGAAGAAGAGTACCACCTTCTTGTGCTACGATCTTGACCTGGCCGAGCTTGAGGCGGCCAGATGTGTTGGGAGTAAGAGAGGCATTTGTAAGCGTACCAGTCTTCCCCATCAGCAGCTCCAAGGCAAAGATCAAGCCGGCAATTTCTACACCAAGCTTGCTGAACCCTACCCTAAAAGGTTGTGTAAAGCTATCGCGGACGCTTATTACAATACTTGGGCCAAATGTCTCGGGGAGTCCTTTGGGCGCTTTATGCAGTAAAAGGTTATGCGGCTCTGGCCAGTCTGCTGTTTTGGAGTCGACAGTTTTTGCAGGTCCTTGACGTGATTCGGTCGCGGCCTCATGGAGGGCCGCTTCAATCGTTCTGGTGCTCGCGGAGGCTCGACTTCTTAGACCTCGAGGATGTCTGGCTGAGAAAGAGACGGGAGCTTGGGATGGTTTGTACTTGTACGTGAATCCTGTGCGCCTCGTCGGATGTCAGCCGCTCGACCCCCAGTCGACCCCGAACAGTATTTAAATAGCAGTCGATCAGGCAAACTTGTTTCAACATGCGTTCGCCGCAACTGCGGTGGCTCAAGCGTCACCTCCCTTCCCCCGTCCTCCACCCCTGATTCAGAGTTTTCAGCTTGTGTCTGGTTTCGCGCAGCAGGTG